AGGTAGTTTCAGTAGAGGATTATAAGTAGGAAGCTAGAGAAGGCATATGTTACTATAGAGAGCTCTAAAAGATATAAATCATGGAATATTAGCTATAGAAAGTATTATCTCTATTCGAGTCGATTACTCTTTAGTAAATATTAATTATATATAATATAACTTTATTAATTTCCTCTTAAGGCACCTTAGACTACTCTTCCTTCTAATAAGCTATTATCTCTTAATTATTCCTTAAGTATATACTATTCTAACGTCGAGCTTTAATTCTCCGGCGTATATACTTCTATATCTACTTAATTAGGTTTATATCCGGAGATTAGAAGAGCTAGGAAAAAAGGATAATATTCTACTTAGTAAGAAGGTAGACTGTATAGTAAGAATAATAAGAACTAGCGTTATCTATTATAATTCTAAAGAATAGATAAGTTCTAGAGAGTTCCCGGTACTATTAAAGTATTATAAGAGCGATATATCTAAAGTAAAATCAGTACTAATTAACCTCTCTTTTTATAGTATTCCGAGTAAAGTAGTGATTTCGTAAATAGACCTCTTACCTTAGTAGGGCTCCTTTAAATTATACTCCACACTATTCCTTGTCTTATAATCTTACTATAAGAGACTACTAATATATCATATTAAGCTAGCTATTCTATTCGAGGTTCAGTTGTTTAAAGTGTTCCTTAGCTTATTCCTTTTACTTAGAGATCTTAGTAATAAAGACTTAATATAGTCTATTTCGCTCTCTTAGGGTGATAATTCTAAAGAACTAACTATAGGAATAATTATCGTTCTTATTTATTCTAACTTTTATATCTTTATAGTACCTCTTGTTCTTCCTTTACTAGTAGAGGTTAAGTTAATCTTTATTTAGACGGATTAATATAGCGTCTATAAAAGTAATACTCTTAGGAGCTTCCTTTAAAACCTTCTTTAGCTCTTTAGCTTCTCTTTTATAGTCTTTCTTATAATCCTTACTTAATCGTAGCTTATATTCGGATTTCTTTCTTAATACTCCTACCTTATAAAGAACCTTTATAAAAAGGTTAGTAGAGATTTAAATATTATATAATTTATAGTACTTAGAGATATAAAAGTAAGTATCTTTTCTTCTCTCTTCCTATGAACTTAAAGCCTTTTCTATAAGATATTCCTTCTATAATACACTTAGCTTCTTATAGCTCCCCTTCTAACTATTTATAACGTATATTATATTACTAAAAAGCTTCCTTCCTTTACTATTTCATAGACTTTTAGTTTCCTAACGTTTAATAGCTTTATAATATATCTTTTATATTATTCTCGCGGAAAGAGAGTTATATTATCCTACCTAAAGGGCTACTTCTTCCGTAGAGCTGTTTTTTCCGGTTTGAGCTATAATTTACTAGTAACGATTAATAGGTTACTTCTCGCGAGTAGTCTTTAAAGGCTTTAGATAATAGCTAATCGATCGGCGCGGTTTTCGAGGCATTCTAATAAGAATTAGTAGAGATATTAAGAGGTAATAGCAAAGGTACGTGTTATTTATTTACAAAATTATAGTGTTCCAATTACTTACGTCAGCCCGGCCCTCATTAAAAACATCACCGAGTACCCAGGTACTGATTGCTGTGCCACGCCATTTTGATAAGGGACCCCCAATGCCGCCATTGGCGACCAACAGCAGCACTAAGTGGTGGTGCTGCTGACCTAGGCGGCTCCACAGGGGACTGAATCTGAATCTGAATCTGAATGTCCCTATTCCCGAAGGTGACAGACATCCGACAGGACATGTCAGTCTCGTCGGATGACATTTTCTCTACTCTACCCTCGGTTTCTGTCCATTCAATTACTCTGTCGCCCTGATATCCCGGCTGTCCCGTTCACCACGCAGTCTGAGCAGTGCAATCAGGGTTGCCTTCGAGGGTCGGGTCCATATGGCGTGGAGTTAGTACTATAGCCAGGTAGGGTAAAGCTGTGTGTGAATACCTTAGCTACAGAACCTGAATGTAGCAACGCCGATCACTTGACTGGTACAGTACTGTACTATGCTGTGCTGTGCTGTGCTGTGCTGTGCTGTGCTGTGCTGTGCTGTGCTGTGCTGTGCTGTGCTGTGCTATGCTGTGCTGTGCTATGCTATGCTGTGCTGTGCTATGCTGTGCTATGCTATGCTGTGCTATGCTGTGCTGTACTATGCTATGCTGTGCTATGCTGTGCTATGCTGTGCTGTGCTGTGCTGTGCTATGCTGTGCTATGCTGTGCTATGCTATGCTGTGCTGTGCTGTGCTATGCTATGCTGTGCTGTGCTGTGCTGTGCTGTGCTATGCTGTGCTGTGCTATGCTATGCTGTGCTATGCTATGCTGTGCTGTGCTATGCTGTGCTGTGCTGTGCTGTGCTATGCTGTGCTGTGCTGTGCTGTGCTGTGCTGTGCTGTGCTGTGCTGTGCTGTGCTGTGCTGTGCTGTGCTGTGCTGTGCTGTGCTGTGCTGTGCTGTGCTGTGCTGTGCTGTGCTGTGCTGTGCTGTGCTGTGCTGTGCTGTGCTGTGCTATGCTGTGCTGTGCTGTGTGGTGGCGGCTGACATTCGACCGAAGCTGACACACAAAGCCGGAAGAGGAAGTTGATAAGAAATAGAAATCGCTCGACAAGACAGAATGGGGGAGGGTGGCCTTGACAGAGTGGGCATGACCATGACCATGACGAACTCAAGACAAGCTAAAGTGCCATTTTCTAGGAGTATGAGTACGAGTACCAGCCACATACGAGTATGCATAAGGTGGGTATAGAGCTACATGCTTGCAGATTAGGTAGGTAAGGTAAGGTAACTTCGTAACTTACTTACAGTACTCCGTATGTATGATATGTTAGCGATTGCGAGTCCACTCGCGCTGGGGCAGAGGCAGACACATGCATACGCATACGCAAATTGCACATGGACATGGACATGGACATGCACACGCACATGCACATGCACCAGGTAAGAGTTCTAGCAGAATTCGTAACGAGCACTGCACTGCACTGCACTGCACTGAATGCACTATATGGCACTATACGGCACTGCACTGCGCTGGGCTGCAGCGATGCTGTCGTCAGCCCACGATGCGCGGGCGGGCGTTGGCTTCAGGGCCAGCAACAGCAACAGGAACAGGCTTCCATTCCATCCTATTCGCTTACCTAGTTTGCCTACCCTACCCTACCTCCCGGTGTACGTAATTATCCGCACACTAAAAATGCCTCACTAATAATACTACGCACCTTGTAAATTTAATAACTCTACTACTACTTAACTAAATCTCTTAATTTTTAAAGTAAAATGAAGCTCTCTAATAGACCTTTAACTCCTAACTCTATAAGAGCGATTAATCGAACGATTAGTACGTATAAGCCTAGCGAAAAATACTTTATCTTATATAAAGTATCTATAAAAGCTATTATCTAGTAGGAGTCTTGAAAGCTACCTCTTAAACGTACTTTAAAGACTGAAATCTTCAATTTAATTAAATATAAACCTTATTAGGTATATAAAGCTCTTTTAAAGTAATTAGATAGTATAAAAACCTTATGAACCTTTTAAAATAACCTATTATAAGATAAGTACTAAAGGCGTAGTCTGAAAGCTAAGATTCTACTCTCTTAAGTTAATAAAATAGAAGATATATTAGAGAATTATAAATAAGAAGGTTATACCTTAATTTAATAACAATTAGAGGAGAATATTAGATTAGAAGGAGTTTCTAATCGCCTGATTCGATAGAGGCTAAATACTTATAGATAGTATATTTATAAGGTATATAAGAAGCTATATTATTACTTAGATCTTTAAGATAAGCGTAAGAAGTAGGTAAAAGATATAAAAGTAAAGTATCTAGAACTAAAGGATTAGAGTAAAGTATAGTTTTCTAATAAATACTATAGTAGTTTTAGTTTATAAGAGAGTATTAATATTATCCGGAAAGCTAGGATATAGTATTATCCTAACTATATCTTAGAGATTAAGAAGCCTAAGAAGAAGAAGGATAAAAGTAAGAGGAAAAGGAAGAAGTAAGAGAATAATAAGAAAAAGAAAGATAAAGATATTACTTCTTTAAAACTCTATTAGTAAGCTATAATTAAGTATAACTTCAAGTCTGATATTATCTTTTATAAGGTCCCTACGAATAATAATAGAAAGATAATATATAATATATATATTAATTAGATCCTTAAGCTAATTATTAAGCTATAGATTAATACTAGCTACGATTTTATACTTAAAGAAGATAGTAATTCAGGCTATAGATATAGTAAAAATAATACTAATAATAAGGTTAAGTAATAGAAAATATAATACAGCCTTATAACTTATAAAAACTATACTAAATCTCCTAATTTCTCTCTAATTAAGAATAACTAGTTTTTCCTAAAGAATAAGTTACGAACTATAGGCTATTAGGACGTAGAAACTATAAAGGAATTAGTCTTAGAGGAGTAGGAGAAGCTCTCTTAAGAGACTATAAATAAGTAAGTTAATAAGATACCTTAAAGGCTTTAAAAGTATATTAATTATAATAGTAAAAGAACCGGCTACTAAAATACTACTTATAATACTATAATTTATTAATCCTAAATATCGTAGTGTATTAATTTAAGTAGTAAATAATAAGGGGGTTAGTATTATTGAATGCGGGGCATTTTTAGTATGCGGATAATTACGTATACCGGGAGCCTACCCTACCCTACCCTACCCTCCCCTACCTTACCTGAGGCACCCAAGGCACCAGAGGGGTCCTCTGCTCCGCCCCGCCCCGCCCCGCCAATCGGGCCAAGCACCGAACCCCCCATTTCCACTCCATCCACCTGCTCGTACTGTACTCCTACCTAGGCACCTGAATCCAACATCCCCTCCCTCTCTCTCCCCACCCAAAATCCGAGATGCATCAACTTAATAACCTTAATCTCCACTTGGAACTTCCGTGCGCTTTTGAAGCTCAAAGCTGCGTGACACAGGGCGATTTGGGATTGACCACGGACCAATTGATAAATTACAATGACCATACCACCACTGACGATCCGCAACTTAACCGTTACCCCTCTCGAGTTGAAGGCGGTGGAGCGATTCGAAGCTGGAGGCTCGACCAGGAATAATGGCAATGCTGGTGGCGTTGCAAATATTACACGAGCCCTCACTGGGCTGATGAACAACTTCACCAGTCCATCCTCGCCCGATCTTGCTGCAAAGTCAGACAGTTTCAGTGCCCAAGACATCTCCATACCTATTGCTCCATTTGAGTCAAAGACAACCGACATCCAACCAATTGCCAATCAAGTCTTGCGATTAACGGTGGAAGCAGACGGGCAACGATATAGAATCGATACCCCAACACTGTCACAACGTTCTACGCTTCTGTCGCCAATCTCGCCAGACCCTCGTTTCGAGTTCACCGGGGTGTTCATACCGAGCTCCTCGCATCTTGCTTTATATTCTTCCGCAAAGCTAGAATCATGGATGAGCAAGCTCAAGGACGAGATACCACTCTCTGCGCTCAGTATTCCAGGGACACATAACTCTCCAACACACCACACTGCTCTTCCTTCTGTTCGGTGTCAGGCGGTAGGTGTTAAAGAACAACTCAACAACGGTGTACGATTCCTCGATCTTCGAGTTCAGCCAGAAAATCCGGATGATCCTTCCAAGGACGGACTGGTACTCGTCCATAGCGCATTCCCCATTTCCCTCACTGGTAACAAGTACCTCCGTGACCTCCTCAATACCGTTCATTCGTTTCTGGATGCCAATCCCAGCGAGACTGTCATCATATCACTGAAGCGTGAAGGGGTGGGAAAGGCCACAGATCAACAGCTGAGCAAGATCCTCCATACTCATTATGCAAATGATACAACCCGTTGGTTCTTCGAGAACCGTATTCCTACTTTAGGCGAATCCCGGAAAAAAGTTGTTTTGATCCGGCGGTTTGCTCTGGATGAGTCTTTAAAAGGAGAGCAGGGTGGTAAAGGATGGGCAATCGATGCGGAAAGCTGGCCAGACAACTGCGCCGATGGGACTTGTTCCAGTGGAGAGATTCGAGTCCAAGACTTCTATGAAGTTGCAGAGAGTGAGAACATCCAGAAAAAGATCGGCTTCTCAACCGACCAATTGGCGAGAGCGGCTCAGGCAGTATGTGCTTTGCCCGGACATGCAAATGCTGCCGCTGGGGAGGCAGCAAAGCAACCGTTCTTTATGAACTTTCTCAGTGCCTCAAATTTTTGGAGGGCAAATTGCTGGCCAGATCGGATTGCTGCGAAAGTAAATCCATCGATCGTGGAGTATCTGTGTCGCCAGCACAATGCTACTGCCGGGCAACCTGGCGATGGAAGTACTGGAATTGTAGTTTGCGACTGGGTAGGAATCGGCGGAGACTGGGATCTTGTCCGTTGCATTGTAGGTATGAATGCTAAACTTCAAATGAGGTAAAATTGGAGCTTCCGCATAAAGTTATACACTGTTTGATTGATATGGATCTACACATAGAATACAATGCCTCTATGGCCATAGGCAGCCATCATCCCGCCTTTGTCTCTTCCTTCCCTGGCTCAGATACACCCTTCTCTTTATCCTCCAGCATAGTCCTTCTGCCTTCTACGGTAAAGTAAAGACTCTTCCCAGCACTCTCCAGGGTATTAGTAAGACCAGCACCAAAGCCTTGCAACATAGAAACCAGCTGCGCCTGCAAACCCTCCAATCCACCTTCGATGCTTCCTACCCATTTCGTTCCATCGACGTCGAAGACTTTCCCCTCCACCCTAGCCCCTAAAAGTAACAACTTCTGCAATCCAGTTTGCACAGGAAGGTCGTGCCAGCCCGGATTCGCCCTTCGAGTTGGAGCTGGAAATTGCGGCGCACTAGGCGCTAAAATCGACAGTGCTGCTTTCATATGCTGCGGCGAGACACCGGGGAATGTCAAAAGCATCAATGGCCCAGAGAGTAAAGGTGCCAATGCATGAGCCGTCCTTGTATCCGCCACTGCTTCATGAGCTGCCTTTGACAAAGTATGTGTCAACTCTACAGGGGGTGGTGCAGGAGTCTTAGGATGCAATGTTTGCGAATCCGGCTTATAAAACTCAACAACCCGTAAAGCTGCAGCAAAGATGCCCGTCTGAATGATCTGAATCTTGATACCTTCAGCCAGATTCTCCGGTGGATGACCAGCGGCCACTCTCGCATCGTCCACTTTCTGCAGAGCTTTGGATAATTCTCGCCTTATGCCGACCCATTCCATAGATTTCAGGTTGTTGTGCTGGAAGAGGAGCATGAGAGGCGTAGAGCGAAGAAGGGAGGCATATTGACGAAGGAGTTGAGACTTTCGAAACTCGGGCGGCTTGTACGATGGAGGTTGCGTAGAAGGATATCGAGCCACTGGAGGTGTTGATCTTATCATCTGCTCGTGAGATGCAGCAGGTGTAGTTGCTGCTGCTGTTGCATATTGGCGTTGGAGCCGGAGTGGCCGTTGGCACCGTAAGATGGATGCAATCGCCTTTGAGGGTGGATGTATTCGTGGCGGCATTCTTTTCATCAATGTTAGTAAAAGTGTACACCGTGCGTGTTCGTGCCGTATCGCAATTAGGTGGACGAACCTGGGTAGGAGGATCATGGAAGTGTCGAAGGACGATGCTTGAGCTCAAAATAATTGTACCTCGATATGACGGAAGAGGTTTAGCCCGGGTTTATAACTCCCCTGCTAACGGGTAAGTTGGGCTGGACACCTATTAACCTTCTTGAGTCACGACACAAACGCATTTGTCTTCTACCTACGTCGTTTGCATACGGTCTCGCTCTTATTCGGACTCAATTGACGGCTAGGACAGAGAAGATGTCTTCTGGGGTGGACCTAAGTGCTTCTCGGAATGTTACAATAACCCCATTGCTAAGGAGGTTGTGGCCGTCGCCCGGTGAAAACAAAGTCACTGCGGACGAGATTGCTCTGGCAATTGCACATATCTTCACAGACCAATTGTCTCCAGTTCAGACTGGAGCTCTCCTTACATGTCTACATTTCACAGGCTGGGATCGGAGACCAGATGTCATCGCAAAATGTGCTGCTGCTATGAGAGAGGCTGCTTCTCAGATTGATAGAGTCGCTTTGGAGAAGGTCGTCAATGCACGTGGTAGGCCTGAAGGTGATTACCATGGTGGTCTTGTGAGTTGTACTCCACTCTGTCATATCAGAACGGATATGCTGATTGATTGTAGTGTGACATTGTCGGTACTGGAGGCGATTCACATCATACATTCAATATTTCCACTACATCGTCGATTCTGGCTTCCTCTCTACTTCTCCTGAGCAAGCACGGTAACAGAGCCTCCACCTCCAAGTCTGGCTCAGCGGATCTGCTCACTTCCACCCTTCCCACGGCACCAAATTTGAATGCTGTGACCCCAGGGACGATCTCCCAGGTCTATGAGAAGACCAACTATGCCTTTTTGTTCGCCCCAGTCTTCCATCCAGGAATGAAGTATGTTGCTCCTATTCGTAAAGAACTCGGATGGAGAACAATCTTCAACCTCCTTGGACCTCTCGCAAATCCAGTCGAAGGCAACATCGAAGCTCGTCTACTCGGGGTGGCCCGTAGGGACATTGGTCCTGTGTTCGCCGAGGCTTTGAAGATGAGTGGTGCTAGGAAAGCTATGGTTGTCTGTGGAGAAGAGGATCTTGATGAGATCAGTTGTGCCGGTCGGACGTATTGCTGGAACTTGATCGATCGATCAACAAATAAGGATGCATCCCCCAACAACGTTGGTGTTGAGAGTTTCACCATTGCAGCGTCTGACTTTGGGTTGCCACCTCATGAGCTCAGAGACGTGTCTCCAGGCAAGGAGCCGCATGAAAATGCAGCCATCTTGACGAACTTGCTTCAGAACCGCTTACCACAGGATGACCCAATCTTGGAATTTGTCCTCATGAACACAGCTGCGTTGTTTGTCGTATCGGGTATCTGTGAGGCAGATACGAGTAATATGGGTCACGGCGATGATGGGAAGGTCATCAAAGAGCGAGGTCCTGGCGGAGGAAGGTGGAAGGAGGGGGTCAGGAGAGCAAGATGGGCCATCGAGAGTGGTGAAGCTTGGAAACAGTGGAGCGCTTTCGTAGAAGTCAGCAATAGCTTCAACAAGAGCTAAGCTGCCCGGTCTCATCAAAGCAGAATCCTTAACTTGCACCATTTATTGATAGCACGTGTGCTCTGTGGATGGAGGGTTGTTTGCTTGACCACATCACCACAGTTTCATTCGCTGAATATATCTCGGGGTTTGACGGTCCGAAGTTGCTGAAGCCATCATCATCGTGGCTGTCCGCACCTGAATCAAGGCGACAGTTCGCTATTGGAGAGATGAGGTGTGTCTAGGTATACCAGAGAAGTCGGGACGAAGATCGGACCTCCCATGCAAACACTTCCGGTCCGCTCCCACTTCCTTTGCCAGCAACAAAACAACAGACTCTCCCGTCTTAAATGGCAGTCTGTTTACGAGACTTCTATTTTTTGAGCCCCTGGCCTTATATTTTGCTCGCCATCAAATGCCCCGAGGTTCTCCATTCCCAAACCTTGTCTAGGTCGCTATTGCATCTTCCAACGCGGGGCACTTTCTAACCCCACCATTGACGTCCTCAACCAGGAATCTAGGTATCAGTCCCGTCTGTCACTTTGAAAGCAAGAACTCTTCACAAATCTTGACATCTACCACTCCTGTTCCAAGTCCACGCCTTTCGATATCTTCGGAATGTCCAAGCCAACTGTTCTTCTCCTAGGAGAAATCGACCAGTAAGCGGTCCGATCCCCCAAGCCTTGATCCACTCTCTTTCCCCTACCGTCGGCCCAAGCCTTCTGAATGTTACTGATCAAGCCATTGGCAGCGCGCACAAACAATGGCAAGACTCTATTGCCTCGATAGCGAACGTGATCGAACCCAAAGCCAGATCGCGAGCCGAATTCATAGAGGAATGTAAAGCCGGAACGTTCGACTCAGTAGTTGCCGCATACCGAACATTTCTTAGTGTAGCCATCACAGGGCCATTTGATCAGGAACTTGTAGCTGCACTGCCGAAGAGCTTGAAGTTTTTATGCCACAATGGTAAGAGGAATCTGCTCTAGGTGTATACGGTGTGATCTCTTGCGTATGGGTTATGCTAACGGGGGCAGGTGCCGGGTATGACCAGATCGATGTACACGCGTGCACTGCAAAGGGAGTTCGGGTTTCGAATGTTCCTACAGCAGTAGACGATTCCACTGCAGACACGAATATATTCTTGATCTTGGGGGCTCTGAGAGGCTTCAATACGTGTAAGTTTCGCATCCTTTCTTAGCAACAGTACACATAAGTAACACAACAACAGCCATGATGGCTCTCCGCGAAGGACACTTCAAAGGATCTACTCCGCCACCACTCGGCCACGATCCACAAGGAAAGGTGCTGGGGATTTTAGGAATGGGGGGAATTGGACGGAATTTGATGAAGAAAGCTGCGGCCTTTGGCATGACTACTCAATACTATAACAGATCACAATTGCCGGAAGAACTTAGTGGCGGTGCGGAGTACGTGAGCTTTGAAGAGCTGCTGAAGACCAGTGATGTACTGTCTTTGAATCTGCCATTGAATGTGAGTCAAGGCTACCTACGGGAATGGTTAGACGACTGACAAAGATAGAAACAAACCCGCCACATCATCTCAACGAAAGAATTTGAAATCATGAAGCCAGGCGTCGTTATCGTCAACACAGCTCGCGGGGCTGTAATGGACGAAGATGCTCTCGTCAAGGCTTTGGGTAAGGGACAAGTTTGGTCCTGCGGTCTCGATGTTTACGAGGAAGAGCCAAAGGTGCATCCGGGCTTGATCGCTAACCCTCATGTAATGCTTGTTCCTCATATGGGAACGTGGACGGTGGAGACGCAAACAAAGATGGAGGTTTGGTGTTTGGATAATTTGAGGAGTGCGATTGAGAGGGGGAAGTTGATAAGTCCTGTGTTCGAGCAGAAGGATATGTAAGTGAGCATCTTAGAGAAAAAAACACTCGGAGGCGGACATGGGGTGTGTTTAGACACGTTTTATTTAGACCATCAAGAGGAAGTAATCTAAAGATCCTGTAAAATCTCCCGCTTTTCGGATTTATCAGAGGAAGATGAAATATGACTGTCGCCGGCAAGCGAACCTAAGACCTACAGAGGCCAATCATACTGCGAAAACACGCGAGCAGGTCTCCAGCCATAGAATCAGCAAAGTCTTAGGCGATTCTGAACGCTGAACGCATAGGTAGCACCAAACGCTTCCGATCCTTCTCACAGAATTTTCAGAAGAAAGCCAAGATCATCACGAACCAATGTGCTCAGAGACACATGGCACATGGACTCGGTGTAATAAACGGCGACTATTTCGAAATCATGGCATTCTCGCATTTTTTTGGTCCTGTGACGGATGGAAACTAGAATACAGAAGCAGCACCTGAGGGACATGCCAGACTAGACTGCTGCAGAACTAAATCAGCCATCCAGCATCAGCATGAAAATGAATCTTCTTCGCAAGCGCCAGCTCCGTTCACCCCCAATGCCAATTCCCAATTCTGGTACCGCAGCAGCAAAACATACTGGGCAGCACAAGCCAACCATGAAAGCAATGGCACGTCTCTCTAACTACTCCATACTTTTACTCATTTTGATTCTTTTCCATGTTTCCTGCTGCAGTAAGTAAAAAGGAGATTTAGGAAAGTGCAAGCGCGAGAGGACGAAAGAGAGAACGACGAGGTGGACCAATGAACGAGTAGAAAGTCGACTGTCCATCCATCTAGAGTACATCTGACTTAGCTGCATAACAACGCGCGCTCCTGCAAATTTCGATTCCACCGCCAAACCGTCCATCCATCCATTCATGTTTATGCTGATGTAAAAGAAGGGAAGAAACATCTTTCTAGGTAGGGCCATTGGCAATATTCTTGGACACCTGCCTTGCCAGCTCAGACGGGAAGGAAAAGAAGATAGACCCCCATATTTCCCTTCCATGCTACAAAGAATGAAATGAGCCATATGCAATGCGACGCCTAGAAACACCTTTGTGACGCCAGATTATGGACAGATTACTTCGCCTCCGGGGAAGCTGTGCTATGAATCGATGGTGGTGGTAGGGAGGGAGTGGCCCAAGAACGAGCTGCCAGATCACACAATCTCCGAATGACGTTGGTTGTTCCAGATCCGGCGGCCTCATCTGAGACAAACTTCTTCGCAACCAGAAGCTTGCTTTTGTTATCACTCTCATCTAAGTGGAGTGGCGTGTCATTGTCGGTGTACTCAGAGACACGTTGACCGAGACCGCGTATAACAGCGATGGAGTACAGGACATCACGGTTCTCCCGACCATCAAGAAGGTTTCGGAGAGCGGAAAGTGTGTCATCGACGTCCTTGACCGCATTGCTATCTTCATATGGGAGGACGACAAAGTTGCCGAGAGTGTGCCAGAATTCCAGCTCGCGGAGTCTGTGATGATCTGTACTGCCAGGGATAGGTGCAGTGAGAGGATTGACTGCGGCCACGCGCCCGGTCAACAAAGTCTCAAAGACATCCAGACGATTGGTTGCTTCAGTAACATCATCACTGGCTGGGACGGTCTTCGATTCTTTAGCGACGTTGACCTCAGATCCTCTCACCATCGTAGCAAGAGTCCAGACAGTCCGACTTTCAACACTACCGGTGTATACCATCTCCTTGGGGTCCTCTTGCGACGTCTTTGCAAAGTGGAAGAGAAGACAGCCGAATTGATCCATTAGATGCTTGGTGCTGAGAAGTCTGTTCAAGCCCTTGGTGGAATACCACTTAGACTCAATAAAGTTCTCTAGGCCTGGGGCATAGATGCTGTAGTAAAGGTGCTTGATTTCCTCGATTGAAGATGGATCATTGGTGATGTCACGGGAAATACGAGGAGGCTGAGGTTGCTGATCAAGAAGTTCGCTAACCTGTCTCTTTGCTGGAGGGAAGTCAGTGGTTTGTCCAGGGACATATGCAACAGGAAAGAGCTGAATGAGGAAGACCCATCTCTCAGGCGCATCGATATCACTGCGATGCCCTTGCGAGGCGGCCAACACTGCGTCGAAATGCTTGCCAGTTGCCTGGGATCTGCTCGGGATATTTTACATACCTGGAGATGTGGTTTGGTATGTCGGGGCGGTCGTATTGACTGGAGGTGCTGCGGCAACATCCGCCAAAGCAGGATCAATTGCGTTGGTGTAATCGTATTGTGGGTGGGCAGAGCCAGGTGAACTGACGCCGACAGAGAGAGCGGGATCGTACGACGACATATTCGCAGGAGGCGCACCGTAATTTGCGAGCATCTGAGGTTGTTGTCCGTATGGGTTCGAGGTTGCTACCATGCCACCAAGAGAGGGAGCAGAGCTTGGGGCGGGCTGGATGGCAGCAGGACCTGGTTGTTGCTTAAAGATAGGATCGTAGCCAAGACACTCACGCTTGGACTTCTGGCAATTACGGCAGGCTGGGTGTTGTTCGTCGCACTGAGATGCGAGTTAGCAAATGATCGAGGGTAACGACAATGTCGGGCGCGAAAAGCGAGGTCAGCAGAAAACGGACTTGGAATGGGAAATGAGAGTCGGTAACGGCCAAGGGCCCGCCCATCCATGCATCTCCAGACTGGCTTGAGTAAAGCGACCTCATGTGCTCACTCGCCTACTTAGGTAGATTCGCTTGATGTAAACGAAGAGAACCCTTCGCGAAGAACCGAAGCGCCCAACCTCTTCTCTTCTCTTCTCGCGTACATCATTTTCAAGCTGTTGCGCTCGAAGAACACGAAACGAAAACGCACTGTACTGACCTTGATTCTACGCTTTCGGCATGTGAGGCAGCCTGTCTTGGTTCTGCGTTTGATTTCCTTTACGTCCAACAGGAGCGTCAGCATTTGCATATGCGGCGCCGGCTTTTGAGATCACGGAAATGCTCACCTTCTTGTGTCGGCCACCGCTCATGACGCGCGAATCCGCAGAAACTGGGAGAGCATATCGCATCTGGCCCGAAGGATCAGACGTGACATTTGCGTACTGGTGAGAGGGATGTGGCAAGGTCTGGCCTTGGTTGTGATAGTATGGACCGCCCATGTGCGCAACTGGTGGTGGAAGACCCGAGCCCATATTCTGCTGCTGCGATTGCTGGTCGATGAGGCGCATCGAGGGAAGGGACATCGAGTTGTTACTGCCGGTCGAGCTGGCGCGATATGGTTCGGTTGCTTGAGGTTGGTTCGGAGGAGGATAATATTGGGCGTTCGAAAGGGAAGGTGATGGATAATTACCATTCGTAGGACTTGGGTAGCCAGATGGTCGCTGGCCACCTTGCTGAGGTTGCTGAGAGCCCGACATCGATGGAGAGGGCGGCGCAGAGCCGTTCTGGAGATGGGAGTTGTTGTTGGAGAGGTGCGGGCTGTTGCTGTTGCGATTATTATTCTGCTGCGCCATGAGAGACGATGCTGACAGTTTGTCGGCGGGTTAGGGAGGTGTTTGCAGTTGGAAGTTGAGGTGATGAGATGATGGGACGCAACAACACCGACTAGTCGCGAGCGTCAGTGCAGTGAATCGGAATCGATTTCGTCGACGCTCAATGTCGCCGCGCAGGCTGGTATCTCGAATGGTCTGTAGGACTTTCGAGGCCCTCTCGGGTAGGTCGCTCCCTTGATGCTGAAGCGAACCGAGATACAGTAAACTTGATGGAGAGTGGAGCAGAAATATAGATAGGTAGGTAGGTAGGTAGGTAGGTAGGTAGGTGGCAGGTGTCGGCAGGTCAAGTCAGGGCAGGTTAGGCCAGGTCAGTCAAAAATGGCTGTCTCGAAGACAGGGCAGGGCAGGACAGGGCGGAAAGGGAGGGCTGGGCTGTGCTCAGGCTCAGGCTCAGGCTCGGTCAAGGCTGACCGGCAACGTAATTCGTAACGGACGTGCAGCAGCAGCCAGCGGCAGCACGATGCAGTAGGTATTAATGCGCTGCAGCTGGGAGGTAGACTTTGGGTCAAACTAAACGGATGCCAGGGCGTTGTAAACAGGGAGGGTGATTCAAGGCAAAGGTAGGTAGCAGGTAGGTGGTACCTTTAAAAGCAGACCATGCCAGTTCTGCAGGCGCGCGCGGCGGGCAGCGGTCCACTTGAAAAATCTTCTGGTTGTCTGCCTGCTTACCCCTTATTGGACTAGCGCGTTGGAAAGACCTTGTCGTATCGTGTTCCTACCTAGGCAAATTTGCCTTACGAAGTTAGGAACCTACCTACGAGATAATTTACCTAGATACCTTAGGCAAATTAGGTAGGTAAGGTAGGTAGGGAACGATAGAAGTACCTGTCCTTACCAACATACCTACCTACCTACGTGACGTGCCTGTAAAGCGGCATACCTATTTCTACGACTTACGAGAACTTACTTGCCCCTTTTCCCACGTGCAGCGCAGCGCAGCGCCGCGCAAGAAAAGGTCACATGGTCAGTCAAGAGCATTCCAATGGGCAGGCTTACATCTAGGTAGGTATAGGTAAATTAGGTCCTCCAGATTGCAGGTGGTTCTCTAAGTCAACAAACAACAGGGCTGTTTTTTGCGAGCACGCCCTCCTCGTCTGTGCTTCGCATCAGCCAGTGTGTGCCTCGGGAATTGGAGGGAATGAGTTGGACTTTGGGAGGGCACTTTGAGGGCAATTCAGTCCTCCCTCTCCCCTCTCCCCTTCTCCCCCTCTGCCATCCCCCCGAGCCCGAGCCTGTCTGCCTGTCTCTTGCCCCGACGTACGGAGTAAGCGTAGGCGTAAGCGTAAGCGTAAGCATAAGCGATAGAAGAATAGAAGAAGTCATGGAAGACTCGGTAAGGTCAAGACGAGTTACAAACCCCATCTTGAACACGGATCCGAGGGAGCTACTGTAGCAAAAACGATCATGCATCGGGGATATATTTGCAACAGGGCAGGGCCGGCCTTGGGGCTGGTTGGTTGGGCACGCTGCTGGGCTGGGCTGGGCTGGGCTGGGCTGGGCTGGGCAAGTTGGTGATGTTGGATCGTGTGCTGTAATAATATGGCAACGTTCCAGCAGCTTTTCAAAAATAAGAGCATACCGAGCATACCCCAACTGGGATCGTCCGGGGATACTCATATCAGCATCTGCTCAGAGACAACTACTAGGCAAATTGCCATATCTTGTCAAGGTCAACAATATTCCTGCGCGAATAAAGGAAGCTGCAGGTGGCCTGTCCTGTGACCTGTCCTGTCCTGTATGCCCTCGCCTGCCGACCGCATACTCGCTTGGAGGCTAGCAGGCGATCAAAATCAGGGGTATGGTATGGTGTTCGCCAGTCAGAGTAATTTACAAACTTTCATAGATCTAGTCCTCGTGTCCACCACGTCTCAGGATTGCTGAAGGACGTCCTACCACAGCGAGCACACCACTTTGTACTTGCAATCTGGCAGCGTGCAGCGTGCAGGCTGCCTCCCAGTATCACTGCGTAGATTGTACTGTACATACCTACCAAGGGACTTGTTGGTACATATGCATGTCACTGCTGCTGATGCCACAGCGCTATGTTTCAGAAGGCTTTCCCCGACATATGCGCTCTAGGGTGAGGGAGAGAAACAAAACATTTAATTTTGCAGATTCTTTCAGGCCAGATATCTTGCATCTTTAATGGCCTCTGACTTCTCGACGGCCTCCTACTATCGGGGGTTTTTGTGTATTTCCTCCCATCTGTTGTCAGCCAGCTGAATTTAGGGTTGGTTTCGATTCATCCATTTCGGCTCTCGCATCGCCGACGAAACACGTGCAATGCGGTATACGAATCCTCGAATCCTCCCATGATCTCGCAAACCTTTCAGTGCCTATATCCATGTGTTATATGAAAGACTGTATTGTCTCACCTCTCAGCCTATGCCATTCCGAAGCACATAGATATGGCATCTGCAACTTCGTGCATCCAATCGGCGCTTGTCAGTCTGGGTTCCATTTCCCTTGCTTTGGCTTTTGCCTCTGCTGTCATATGACTGGCAGCGAATGGTATAAATATCACAGTTCCGGTAGGTAGGCTTTCCAAGGGTTTGAGGCCAACCCGAAGAAACGATTACTGGATCATGATCAAACGCCATGTGCGACTTCTGTTGATGCGATTATACCACCTTCGTACCAGAGCAAATCGGCGCCATGAACGCAATCAATCCTTCGACTAAATTATCTCAGTACCCACGCAGTGGCATGCACACACATCCCTTGCTGGAGACTGAGCTCAACAGGCGAGCCCAGATTGATCTGATGCCTGTCATAGTCAGGCATAGTAGTCATGGTTGCACCAACAAGAACAAGGCATTACGTTGCCGGTTAAGAAATATGTTCCTAACCAAGGAGTGGATATCATAGGCAAGTATCGGAATCGATTAAACCGTTATGAGGCCACAAGGCACACCACTACACAAATTTACCCCTGTATCAGGTACGAATGCCACTTTAATAAGCGAAGAATACCCCTCGTAAGACACTGTTCTAGCTGTAATGTTATCAAAACAAACACTATTTAATTGATTTTTTAATTATTAAATAATTAATACACCTTTAATGCGATTTAAACGTATCTTTTAAAATTTTTATTATATGCTGTTTTATAATATTACAAATAACATATACATATGTTAACTGATTTTTTCTAAGTCAATTGCCTTCGCGAATAAAAGCGGTATAGGTGCTTTTAGGTGTGTTATGCGAGTGTGCCTTATCCCCTCAACTGCCGTATCAAACACACCTGTAGCGAGACCCTGTAATTAAGCGAAGAACGCTGGAGTTCGTTGTCGTCTAGGCAGCCTTAGCGCCTCGCTTCAGCACCGTGCCCTGGAAAAATGTGTTTTCGGCAGTTGAGGGGATAGCCTTATGACGGTTTAATCGTATCCCAAGTATCGGATGTGAGGAAATTGTTGCTAATCTGAATTATGGGATTAGCATTTCATACTGCGTTCAGCGTAGCCAGCCTCCCTTCATTTCTAGCCTCTTGTCATTTAAGTGTTATTGAGATTTCAGGGGTTAATAACTTGCAGTTATCCATTGAATGATTAGATCGACTTGACGCAGCCATATACTCTGATTGACTGATACCATGAAATTCGTAAACGTCGAGTTCGGGCGGCAGAGCACAGCACTTTCTTTTTTAACAAGAAAATGTAGATAGGTAGCCGCAAAACATTCGCAGGCAAGGATGTCACAATTATGTGCTTTTAATCAACACGTTGCTTCGCAGACGAGGCCTGGCTCTGTTGTGCTACTAACACTATCCCCGAGCTTGTTGGACAGCTGCATAGCTGTATCATGGAGGGAGACGAGCCTAAATCGTCCGTGTACCTCTGTAACCAAACACTGTACTTGTAAGAGGGCGCAATCTGCCTTTTACCGGCACGTAGTATGCTTTGAATCTTCACTGTCATTTCCCAATGCAGTTGTAGATGTTGTTCCATATACTCGAGTGAAATATCGTTTTCCCGGCAAACGGGCCGAAGAACCACTGACGAGCAGAGCCGAGAACCGACCAAAGCAGTTACATTTGACTTTCGAACAACCGACTACCCATCAGTAAGCACTCTCGTCCAGTCGAACTTTTTCCAACGCGCACGGAAGTCATCGAGGCGTTTATCCACTCGGTGCCAACGACCTTGCCTCTTTATCACATCAGGCTCAATGTCGAGCATCCCTCCAATGATCTCCCGTGCAAACAAATCTCCTTTCGGCCATCTATTTGAATCTTCAACAATATGGCCAAGACCTCCATCCAGATTGAACCACGCATGGAAGTATGGCATCTCCTTGGCAATTGAACGGCGGAAAGCCGACTTGCCCAAACCGTCTCGTGCTCGTGTAGCCGTATCTATCAATTTTTTGTGTTGTGTCCATTCTTCGTCGGATGAGAGGATCGCCTCCTTGAAGAAAGCTGGGGCTGTTTCACCAAGGCTATAAGGTAAGGGCACAGCCTGCATTGCGGCGTGCATTTTTCTGTGCGGAGTTGCCGCGTTCTCGTAAAAGACTACATCACGGCCTTGGTCGTGATACATCCGAGTGAGGCTCTTCATGAAGTTCCGGATCTCTTCCCATTCATCGTCATCACAATCTAGGAGATTTGTTCTGTGCTGAATTGGAACAATGACCGCACCACCTTCACTGAGCTCAGGCTCGGTTGGCAATGTTAGATATACTCGTGTACCCAATGATATGAGGGGAGCGACGGGGGCTTGATTTTTGTCTTCGTGATGACAGAGTTGACAGGAGTCCAGGATCCTGTTCATCTTCTGGAACTCTCCTACGGCAGCGTTCTTAAGGTTGATCTCAGATTTCTGTACTCGCTTGGCGAGTTTGTTGGCGTTGTCGTCCATATAATCCAGATCATCATCAAACTTGACGTCTTTAGCGATTCTCTCTGCAGCTCTCATGCCCTCACCTCCAGCTTGACCCCTTGTTCGACGTTCTTCGCGGACCATGTCATCAATGCTCATGTCCTCATTATCTTGAACAAGGCCTCTCTCTCGTCCTCTTTTGTTGTCAATTGACTTGACTTCCCCTCGGCTACCCGCTAGCATGCGATTATCCATCACCCCTAACACTACCACGCCTGGGTCCGATCGATTTCTGGTAAAGCTAGCCATAGCTTCGCCGTACTCTCTCTCAAGTCTCTCGGCGTCCGGGCTCTTCTTGAGCTTCGCCTTCATGAGTTGGGCCTTCAACCGATTCAGAGTAGTTGAGTCCGATACAGCGGCAAACTCAGCAGGCTCTTCCTGCACAACTGCCCGTGGTAATTGTATTGGCTCCTTTCTTGTTTCTTCGTGCTGTCGTCGAGTCCCCAATCTCAGCATTCGTTCCTGGAATAGCTCCCCACTTGGTTTCTCTTTTCCTACGTAACCTTCTCCATAAGTCCGTCGACGATCCAGTTCAATCTGCTCTTCTCGAGCGTCATCGAAGCTCTTCAAATCCCCAAAGCGAGCCAGGGCAACCTCATCGATCGATTTTCCACTTTTGTCAGCCTGTTTATACACAGCCTTGAGCTTTGTCATCCTCCATTGTGCCCCAGAATCACCGAAGGTGTACTCAACGTCTTTTCCTACCTCTATATCCTGGAGCTTCTTTCCATCCGCTAGGTCCTGTAGCTGTAGATTGAGCTCATTCTTGTGGATTTTCAAGTCGTAGTCTGGCTTCGGAGGTGGAGCCTTGGCTAATTTCTTTATACCCTTCTGAGTGTAATCGATATCCATCGCAGAAGGTGCTTCCATCCAGGAATCGCGTGTCGGTTTGGGGGTGATGTCTGGCTGCTCATCGTCTAGGTTTGGCAAATCTTCGTGCGGATCCGAGGCTTTTGCGTGCTTGTGGCTTCTTCGGTGGCCTTCTTCTTCACCGTCCCTTGATGCTCTCGACCTCTTGTGCCTGTGATAATCCCTAAAGCGTTCCTCGTCATGAGCATCGCGCAGCTTATGACCTGATCTGTGTCTGTGTTTCCCAGGATCCCGATCCTTCTTCCTGCCATATTTCTCTTCCCTCTCCCTGGCTTCCTTCTCCTCCGCTAGAATTTTCTCAAATTCGTCAAGGCTGTTCATTTCGTCTTTTTGAGGTGAATGGGAAAGAAAATCTGGGGAAGCGAGTGGATCACCTTGACCAACTACCTAGCTTTGGCGAGCAAGATTTAGTTAAAAGTAGAAACCTGGAAACGACAGCCCACCTCGAACCCCGCCAATCTTCACAGGCAAACTAAATCTCAACATACGTTTTGCTTCACCTGCCTCTCAAAATCCACTTTCCTTCGGGCAGCAGGTGCCCACGAGGCTTTCTTCCATCCTAACCTCGGCGCGACGCGTGTGTAGTCCCAGAATGGCGACTTCCCAGCTTCTAGTGCCCACCCCGCCAACAGCTATTGTCTGCGTAGGCATGGCAGGTTAGTAATGGTCCATAACTTCTATGCAGCTGGATAACAGTCAATAAGGAAGCGGAAAGACGACTTTCATGCAACGCATCAACAGCCATCTCCACGCCCAGAAAGAACCTCCATATGTAATCAACCTCGATCCGGCAGTCCGCAATGTTCCCTTCGACAGTAATATCGACATTCGCGATTCGGTGAATTACAAGGAGGTAATGAAGTCCTACAATCTTGGTCCCAATGGCGGCATCCTGACATCACTTAACTTGTTCGCAACGAAAATTGATCAAATCCTTGGACTGTTGGAAAAGCGCACGACACCAGATCCTGCGAAACCTGACGCAAAGACTATAAAGAGCATATTGGTGGACACACCTGGTCAGATTGAAGTGTTTGTATGGAGCGCTTCTGGTGCCATCTTGTTGGATTCTTTGGCGTCGACATTCCCAACGGTCATCGCATATATCATCGACACTCCACGAACTGCTTCTACAAGTACCTTTATGAGCAACATGCTATATGCTTGCAGTATTCTCTACAAGACTAAGCTTCCTATGATTCTGGTTTTCAACAAAACAGACGTCAAAGATGCCGAGTTTGCAAAGGAGTGGATGACAGACTTTGAAGCTTTTCAGGCAGCTTTGAAGGAAGAGGAAGAGTCTGGCAGCTTTGGTGGAGTTGAAGGTGGGAGTTCGGGGGGTGGAAGTGGTTATATGGGCTCTTTGCTTAACAGTATGAGCCTAGTGTTAGAGGAGTTTTACAGTCACTTGAGTGTGGTTGGAGTGAGCTCCATGACTGGAGCCGGGATCAAAGAGTTCTTCGAAGCTGTACGAGACAAGACCGAGGAATTTGAGCGCGATTATAAGCCCGAATTGGAGCGAAGGAGGATTCAGAGGGAAGCTGAAAAGCTGAAGAACAGGGAGAAAGAATTGGGCAAGTTGATGAAAGATATGGCGGTTTCTGGGGAGCCTTCTTCTACGAAGTCGGCGACGAAAACACCCGACATGGATACTTTGAGCGACATGGAGGATTCCGGCGACGATGATGGCGAGGATCAGACTGGGGAAGGTTTGACCTCAAGATACAAACAAGCTCTGGAAGAATCTGGCCCATATGCGTCAACGAATGAGGATCATAGCTTCACAAGATATCTTCGAGCAAGTCAGATGAACATGTAGAGGCACGGAGGGAATTGGAGCAAGGGTTCACGGCGTTAGATGGTAGCATTGCACTGGCGCATCTTTTGAGATCAAATAGGATACCTGACATACTTCGTAGGCATGTCGAAGTACGCAAATAGGGATCCCCTCGCAAATGCGGGCCCCCTGATATCTCCGAATGAGACAGCCTGCATTCAATTTGCGAAAAACCATACGCCCCAGTCGTTCCCAAAACGCCCAATCCGTCCAGTGTCCAAGCATCAAATTCCATCATCATAACACATATGCCTCGCCTTCAAAGGTCATCTCGCCTCGAATTGAACCATTCTAGTAAAAGTCAGCAACGAGCCTCTGGCAGCGTATAACCGAGAAGACTCACCTCTTAGTCCGCTCTTTATACAAAACGCGATGCCCACACTCTTTGCATCGGATTGGATCACCTCTCTTCAGTGGCACCTTCGCGCTGCAATCGCCACAAGTGTATATGATGGCTGGGCCTTCGATAGCAGTTCCGGCGTTGAAAGCGTCGCGGCCAGGAGCTGGCGCCTGGGTAGGAACTTGGTACGCTTCTCGAGACATGGTGGTCTACCTGGTTCTTGTTTGCGAATGTGAATGTTGGGAAGGTTCTTTGTTGATATCGAAGCTGGATTTTGCGAGGCTGATAAAATCCCGTCAGCTCAGCACGAATTCAACATGGTGGTGCAGGGGTGGTGGTTAACCTTTCCTCTTGTGGCTACAAAATCAGGTGAATGGGTAAATATTTTTCCGAGCCGCTCATGGTGCCTGGCGAGCCTGGCAGCCAGGGCAAGCAGCTTCACTGTTACGGTCACGTTCATTCTTACCAACGAAGGTACCAAGGTACCTACTACCTAGGTACCTTAAGTATCTACCGACCTTGAAGGCAAATGCTGGGTTCTTAGAACCGTTCGAGTGGCACGAGACATTGTAAGTCTGGAGCGGTTCCTGGAAATCAGCGAACGGTCAATTGATAGTAACAAAGATCTAGAGTCTTTGACGGAGTTGCGAGGTTACTATTTCTGGAGAGTGCCTCCCCACGGTGAGGCAAAACCTGCCTTCTCCCAGGGTACTTACTTGCCTACCTACCTGCCTACCTACCTATTAGGTAGGCAGGTAAGGTAACTCAAATGTGCATTTGTGCACATGCTGCCACCACTGCACCTCCAGTCAATCGTCCTCTTCAATCCAATGCTCTTATGCTTTTGACAGCGATGAGATTCTTGGCTGTTGCATGCCAATGTCATGCCTAGCGAGTTCTGGGTGTTAAGGTGAATATTCGGCTGTTCAACCGTCTTGGATGCGTCGCTGTTAGGTAGAGCAATAAAGCTGACAACACCTGGCTTCACCTCCAGAATATAGAGCGCCTTCCTCCGCTCCCATAGGCCACAAACATGCCTAAAGCCTCAAAGTCTCTTGCGGGACATTCTCGCTATGGGACCAAGTTCACGCCACTGGTGATAGTGATCATCGTAGTATTGATTTTGGGTAAACTAGGAATGTAGCCGAGCATTATTTCTTGGTCAAAAATTCATCCGCTACAGGTGACATGAGTTCGATAGATGGAAATGGGAAGCAGAGCCGTCGAATCCGTGTTCTTTCTTTCTGTTACTTCGGTATTGGCACCCTTTGCTCACTTCTGGCTGAAGATACAACGCCGAAAGACACTACATACTTAAGAGGGCCAAGAGCAAGAACAGGGGATTGATTTTGGTTTGTGCACCACATCTTCCAATTAGTTGCCTGCTTCCACTATAGGGCTCAGCAACCCGACCCTTCCGCTTCGGTATCTCGTTTCACCATAGGCTGGCTTTCAGCCTTCAAGGCAAGTCGCTCACCACAGACCCAGAATCCCGCTGCTTCGACGATACGGCATATAACATCCAACTCAGTACGATCTCTCGGGGCGTAGATCATGATGAACTCCCGAGGAACATAAGCTTTCATCCAACCACCTCGAGCAAGTGGATGTCTCTCACCCCATCCCTTCTCCAGAACAACCTTGGCATCGTCTGGATGGAGATTCAGATGCATGCTTCGATCGCTATGGTGGACGTGACATATCTCTCCCCTGCATGTAGCATTGATGGGGGTTCGCGCAAAGAGAGCGAGTCCTTTCTTCTCAAAACATGACGTACCAATGCGGAATGCATCGGGATGTCTAAAAGCGAGATTCTCGAGACTTGTTCGCAGAATTCGATTCATCTCAGCGCAGCCGGGCTGATCAAGTTGTCGTTGTGGGGCGATACCTGCAATCCTCGGTCGAGGACCTGTTCGTTCCGGAAGCCAAGATTGAGCACGTTCGTAATACCCTGTAATGGGATATATCTTCTCGGACACTATCATCACAGGGGTATAGGGGTCGGATAAGGCAAAAAGTCTGAGGTAGGTGATTTTGAGATACCCAAAAAAGGTTGAGGGAGTTCCACCCGGGCCAAGACTGAGGAAATTGACATAGTCGTTGTGGATGATCCATGGCAGAGGAGCCAATGCCAGAAGTGTGCATGTGAGGGAAGGTTGCAAAATCTGGATGGCAAGAATCGTTGCGAGGATCGTCAGGACCAGACCAGGTCCGTTGAGAGTTATCTGGAGGATATCATGCTGTGTCATTGGTGTTGGGGCATCAGACTGATAATCGGGTTCCCGCACCAAGATCTGGGTCGTTGTGGTTGTCATTGCTGTTGAGCTAGCCATTACTATTGCCCGTTAGTTATGATCATCACCAGGGTTTCCATTGCTCACTTAAGAATAGTTCGGGTTCCAAACTGAAGTCTGACACCTAGCACATTCAGTAGCTCGAGTGCCAGAGAAAGAAAGTGAAAGCCGAAAGGCGAAAATTTTAGCAGTCACGTTGGAAGTCTAAGAGCTTGGAATTGCTACAGCGACAGTGGGGCTTGGACAAATTGATAATGGGAGCTGACAGCTTGGCTCAGTAACAACACAAGGTCTCAACGACTGATCTGAAGCAACGAAGCACAATGGGAACTATTTGAAATCGGGTGAAAGATGAGTTTGGTATCCCTGATAGGATACTTGGTTCTTGAGATGAATGAATGAGAACATAGGATCTATGGCAATAGAACAACGAGACACAGCAAGTTCTCGGAAGAGGGAGTTGTAAGACCTTAAATAAAGCTATGGGGATCAGCACTGGCTGCTCGTAGGCTCGCTTCTTGCTGCACAAGTGAGGTAATCCCACTTCCTCTCCGCGACTTAGCATGTGGACAAAGTACGGGAAGGGGAAGGAAAGGGAAGTCGTTGTCAATTACAACTGGCCGCAATCGGATTGCCATGTCACAGCTGGACAGAGTTCTGACGCTCAGGGAACCAGGAGATCGTCACTTGACAAAACAGCACTGTCCAATTGGCTAGAGACGCCACCAACACTGCTGGCGGCTCCGATGGTCGTATGATGTACCTCGATCCCTACCTAGGTACTCAAGGGAAGCTTTAGGGGCGGTGGAGGAGTAAACGAGCCGTCACGAACAGCCCTCACTGTTCCTATCTAAATTAGCCTTACGTAGAATCTTCCGCTGTCTTCCAACATATTTCGATATCAACTGAGCAGATCCGGGTCGACACAGTAAGGTGAAATTCTTTCCATTCAATGTTCTAGGATCAGCTGGCAATTGGTGGCACATGTTGTGAAGTGAAGCAGAAGCAGCCCAACATGACATTGTTTGCGGGGTTACAAGGGCGGCGGCTCGCTACAGGAGACAGCTGGTCTGCTCCTGAGTGGCCAACTGGATACTGCCATGATTCCTTCCGGCCGTGTCATCAAGGTTCCTGGCAAATAAACTTGACAGCAAGGAGATACGGTGCACTGATGGCAGATGGGTAGCGCGAACCTTGGGACCTGGCAGTCGCTGGAGGGCAATGGGTTGGGCATACCTGTTATGACGAAAGTGATTCCAGGCCCTCGAGCAGTAGGCATTTTACCTTTTGTAGAACGACAACGGCAACGGCTGCAAGGCCAGCGGAAATGTGAAATGTGGTCACACCGGTTGCAGCTCAGGTGGTTAGTACTTAATATTACTGTAATGAGCCAGAGATGATCGTGAGTCCTGGCCGTCGTGTTCCGGGCTGCGGGGATACTCCAGCTGGCCGGGCTGGGCTAGCTACAGTACCTGCTAGGTAGGCTAAGCCCAGAATTACCTGGCTGGCCAGCGCCAGGCGCTGTGCTGTGCTGTGCCGTGCCGTGCTGTGCACTCAAGGAAGACTAAAGTTACACGCAAATTTATTTGTACTAGCAAACTCACAATACTTGTACCTTGGGCCACGACAGGTTCGTGCGAGTTGAAGATGGGGGAACGCCTCCTTTCCCCGACCGTACCTCTCGCTGGTAAGAGAAGAACACAGAGCCGAGTGGTTAGCATGGCTCAGCATGGCTACGCGACCCTTCGAAGCTAGGCTGCTGAGATACGGTGCGATACTCTTTCCTTAAGGTATACCTGAACTTGCAGGCATGAGCTGTGTAAGGAGCGATAAGAGCTCTGGCTAATCCATTGTTTTCTCGTGCCCTGTCGAGCCTGTCCAGAAGGTGCGCGGGGCAGTCCTAACAAAAACAACTCAGCATCCGAGAACGGTCCTGGTGGTCCCTCACGTAGCATGAATGAATGAATGGATGAATGAATGCATGCGAAGATTCAGCAGTGAGTTGCAGCAACGATGCGTGGCACCGCATTGCATTGCATACCTGACAACTAGCCTTAAGCTGGACATAGTCCAAAAGAGGAGAAATGGTCCAGCTGAGGGGCATTACTCTCGCTTTGTGCACGTCTTGAGCTCGATCGACTTCGACATAGGTATCTTACTGACGCTCTAATACATACAAGCATGTGCGAAGTCCTCACTGGACTACCTACATAGGTAGGTACCTTAAGTCCACAGTCTTGTCAGTCAGCTTTTTATCTGCCTTCTGCTGCTGTGTTGGGGGTTTTCGTAGCTGGCGCCGCAGATTGCCCGGCATGGAGGCCGCTGATGAGGCATGCCTATTAACAAAAGGGGCTTGAACCGTGGTGATCATGTCTACGACCCGTGGCAATTATGACAGACTGCCAGAGGCAGTGGCAGTGGCACCTCCAAATTCCCGTGGTCGGCTCTTCCCATTCGCTTGTGTGTTGTTTCCTGGATACCGTACCTACCCTACCTAAAAATAAAATAAAGTTGCCCGCCGAGCCCGCCTAAAAGATACATGGATGGCAACCGACAAGTTTCGTAAGCGACGCGATAAGGTTGATAAGGTTGCTAGGGGCAACCAGGTAAGATGCTATGTTTTTCTCATATCCTACCTAATACAATATACAGGATGCCACACTCTCGCTTTGCTCAGATCTGTCATCTTGGCAAATACCAATATCTCTACCTATCGAAGCACATATCGCGAATCTCTGCCCATTCCTAAACTTGTGCATAGAATCACCCAGTGTGCAATCTCAATCACCATACATTCCGCAGGACGTGGCTGACTGATTCGAGGCAGACGACAAACATTCCATTGAGCGGAATTTGGGATGGTAGGCTTCAGCGCCCCCGACACGCTGAGCGTGACAAAACGATCATCTCCCTCTAAATACTCCACCCTCAACAACCATAACCAGCGTCGGTTGAAGAATAATGTCGACCTCGAAAAACATCAGTACTCTTCAGAGAATAGCGACGACGAATCAGAAGATGAATCAGACTACTCCTCCGTTGTCTCCTCGCGAGAAACCTCTGGTTCATATTCATCTAATAGGCCGATGCTGCGGAGGAAGTCACCACCTGCAAAGTCATCAATGGCATACCGTCTACCTAACAGAGTCACCCGTTATCTCTGTTTAGGGTTGATTTCGACTCTTGTTGTTTTTGTGCTGGGTCTAGTGCGTATGAGTATTGTATCTTCACGCAGAGTAGAGGTCGGGGATGTAGGCGCACGTCCAGCACCACGTCCTCCAACTTGGGAGAAGTTTGAGTTCTTGACACGGTATTATGGTGGAATTCGAACGCTGGTACCAATCTCTGAGAACAAGCCAGAATACCCATCTCCTGAGGACGAAATGGCCTTGGTGAATAGTACAGTTGTCACTAATATTCGAAATATCCCAGCGAGCAAGCCATTCGAAGCATACAAGAACCATACGTCCCCCAGCTATCTGAGCGAATACATGCCGATCCAAGAATGCTTCTTAGATGAGCAGTCTACTGTCCGTATCCCCAAACTTCAGTTCTACAGTGGAAGACCTAGCGGATTCCCCGACAATGTCATGGGATCCTATGAATTGCTTGGATTGCCGGAGGATATCTGCTTTGAACGATTTGGAAGACTTGGTCCTTATGGATATGGGTACTCTTCGAAATATGGAGGGACTGGGACTGGCCAGCACGGTGATATTGAGGGCTCCGAAGCAGTGTGGGCCGGCAATTCTGGTGTTGAGGGCGGCGGTCAAATCGATTATTCCAGCATCGACTGGGGAGCTGCACAAAAGAGATGCTTTATTGCAAATGCTGCACGTTTCAACGCCGAAGCTTCAATGTCAAACCTGACGATGGCCAACAAACAATTGCCACGAAATGCCGTGGTCATTAGGACCTGGGATACGTTTGAATACCGTGAGGAAGATATTCTGCATCTCAGAGCATTGATATCGGAGCTTTCTCTTGGCTCGGGTGGGGAGTACGACGTTCACCTGCTCGTTCAAGTTAAGAATGAGCCTGCTAATCCCATTTGGGCTGATGCAGAAACATACCAGGCGCATTTGAATGACTCGGTGCCAGCTGAGTTTCGTACTATTGCAACTTTATGGAGCGAGACACAGATGCTCATGATTTACCAGGGAATTTTCGACACCTTCATCCGAGACAGGCCTGTACACGGGCCATATCGTGGGTTACAGATGGCCATGCAGTATTTTGCTCATACCCATCCTGAGTACGACTTTTTCTGGCATTGGGAGATTGATATTCGGTATACTGGCCATTATTACAGTCTTTTTTCTAACATTGAATCATGGGCCAAGAAACAGCCTCGGAAAGGACTCTGGGAACGAAGCAGTCGATTTTATATTCCATCTGTTCATGGGTCATGGGAAGATTTTAAACAAATGGTTCGAGTTCAGACGGAGATGGGTACCGAGAGTCCGGATAATATCTGGGCAGGCATCAAAGGGTCCAAAGCGGAGCGTCCTAAACTCGACAAGCCAATTTGGGGACCTGAACGTCCAAACGACCCAGGGGATTGGTATGAGACAGAGAACGACCCAAAACCTCCTACTGGATACGAAAAAGACAAGTACAAGTGGGGATTAGGTGAGGAAGCTGATCTCATCTCCTTCAACCCACTTTTCGATCCCGAAGGAACGACCTGGCTTCTGGAGTCTGATATAACCGGCTACAATATAAGTAACGGACTCCCACCACGTCGAGCAGCAATTGTAACGTCATCGAGAATGTCGAAGCGTCTACTTGGCACCATGCACCGAGAAACCGCTTTCAAGAAGCACCATGCTTTTTCTGAGATGTGGGCACCCACTACGGCTTTGCACCATGGTTACAAAGCGGTGTATGCCCCTCATCCAGTTTACGTCGACCGAGAGTGGCCCACTGCATACCTTGCTGGAGTCATGAATGCAGGGAGGAATGGAGCTACTGGAGGTGCCCGCACCAGTGTCTTTGGAGATAAAGAACACAACCTTCTTGGTATGTCATGGTATTACAATGCCGGGTTCGCCCCAAATCTGTGGAAAAGATGGTTAGGATTCAGGGTGAATAACGAAGGGGGCGAGGAGTTTGAGTTGACAGTTGACGAAGGAAGAGATGGAAAGGGTGTAAATGGTATGAGGGGTGGTGAAGGAAGGATGTGTTTGCCACCGATGCTCATTCACCCTGTCAAGGGTGTAGAACTACCAGTCGAAGAGTCCCCCGAGAAGGATGACATACCGGAGAGTAATCCAGATGCATAATTTAGCAAATTTGTTTGGGCTGGCGTTGAGCGATTACATGATAGCGTTTCTGGAATTTTGGCAGGGAGTTAGGCAGCACCGGTACTAGGATCAATTCTAGGTTATTACATGACCAAAACGTTGGCTGTTGCAAAGTCACCGTAATGAAAGTCGATGCTTCCTGATAGATCTGATAGTGGGATATGTCTTTGCCGCAGACAATGTCGAGGTCCACGATCGCCTCACTGCCCTAGAGACCGTTTCAGTCATGAGCTAATAGATTCACATTTACAAAGAAAGAGTCTTGTTACGAAGTTGTATTGGGCAGTTCTTAGTCGTGTCTACAAACGCCTACTCCTTGGGCTATCATCATGGATGAAAGTTATTGAGTCAGTAGCCTTGGAAACGGGCCTGCAGTTGCTACAACGACTTGGATGTGATGCGACTACTCTAAAGGTTGGAAGACTCACAGACCTATCAAGGTCAGGACCTATGTAGGTGAAAATGGCTGGGTAAGTCTGGATTGACATCCTTGTGAGCATATCCTCTGTTCTGCCAGGCTGTGACCAGTCGAAAACTATGTTTGTTTGGACAGCTGTAAGCTTCACCGCTCGCATTGGTGGTTTATAGTCGTAGTAGCCAGAAGGTGGATCCAAGAACATGCTATGGAAGATGCATGGCAACGGAGAACAATCTGCTGGTATCTTTCTTGTGGTCTGTGATGGACATGTCTTGGAATAGACCTCACGAAGGGCAGCCGCCAATCAGCAGCTCGTCTGTACCATGTGGGCGCATAGAGTCTTGAGACAATAATGGAACTCATTGATGTAGAGCTCACAGTGTAGCAAACCTGAGACACCAAGATGCCAACTCGAAGCCAAATTCTACCAAGCCGAGTTGGGGCGTTGCAGTACTGTAATGGCAGCCTGGCAGCTGCTTCTTCGCTTTTTTGTTTTTGGCATGGAGCATCGCTTTAGCGTACAATACTTTGAGGCTCTTCAGCGCATATCGCGACACTTCGGACCTCAGCGAGCTCAGCCATATTGTACCTACGGCTCATAGGGTAGCGAGAGCCGGTTCCGGTCAGGTCATAGCTCTACTGCGTACAGAGCCTCTTTTGGAAGCCTACAGGTACTGTAACAATTGTGATCGACCGGCACTCATGCCTAAACCTCGTCCCGATCCGCAGCACCTCTCGCTTGGCGTTCAAATGAGACGTACGAAACATGTTCGTCACTTCAGCCAAGGGGCCAAGAACTATATGGATCCCAGACTACTACCAGGAGAGGAACATTACTCGCAACAAACAAAACAAGATCAGGAGCGGCCAAGCCCATTGAACAAGTCTCGAGGAAGTAAGAGTACTTGGCCAAACGTCGATCATTTCAGCCAACTATGTTGATCATACTTTGTGAAAATATTAGATTCATTCTTAATAGCTATTTTTGGATCACCTGTTCTCTGTGAACTTTGGTGCCGATACATGCCAGCTCGCATATATAAAGCGAGGTTTCCGTGGCTGCAGATGCTTCTCTACACAGCACGACTTCCTCTTCGCAATCGCATTCCATAATATTTCAACAGACAACTATACGATTGTCATCCCTGTTTTGTCCCCAATAAAAAGTAGCAGAGATGTCCAGTCAAACTCAAGCCACCATGTCCCGGCCAGGTACTTATTACATCCATTTGGTATTCTGAGAGTGAAAGAGGCTGACTAAACGAGGCCGATCGTCTACTGCCTCCTCGACTTCTTCCACTGGTAGCTGGCTTGAACTTACCAGCACCAATGGGTTACAGTATTTAGATGCAGATGCATCTGATAGAGCATCCTTACCAAGCAAATTCCTTCAAGTGCGTTGTCTGATGCTTATGAACTTTCAAGTCCACATTTCACCTCTAGAGTGATTTGTATTATGCAAAAGAATGATGCTGACTGTAGTAACGAAATAGCTCAGCGTTGCTGCTCCATCCAAAGAGAGCAAGTTATGCCGCCAAGGGACAATAAATGAGGAGAGTCAGCGACTTTTCCTTCTCCGCGCGAGGGACAGCTAATTTAGCTATTACTGGGGGAGCCTATCATACCAGCCGGACTGTGTTAGCAATGTTTGATTTTAACGTTTATATCTATGTTTATGTTCTAGAAACATGGCTTGGAGGGTAGGGACGAAGATTAATTAAAGACCTCGCGAGCTTAAAGCGTAAGAACAGTGTATTGAATTTTTATCTAAGGTGAAAAGAAGTAATATTATAATAAACCTATTAAGTTAACTTTTAAGAGGAAGCTTTTCCTTCTCTCTTCCTATTATAATAAACTAATTATAATCAGCTAGTTATATAAGTGAGGCTAATATTATAAGGCTATAAGACTAGAGTTATATAATAAACTTAGGATTAGTTTAGTTTATTAGTAGTTATATCTCTTTTACTTATTTTTAAGACTTTTTAAAAACCTCTTTCTCTTATTATTCTTTTTATTTTATATTATAATTATTAATAAATCTTTATTATATTATTATATTAGAAAAAGTTAACTTTACTTATAAAGGTCTTAATATCTACTTTTATTAAATTTCCTAAGTATCTTTTAAGTATAATTAAGTTATACTTATATTTAAAGTACTTTTTTTACTTTTACTCTTATTACTTTTTTATAAGTAAATCTAACTCTTTTAAAAATTTACAAAAAATATAATATAGCTTTATTTTTTAGTTACTCTTATTACTTTTTTAATACAAAAAAAAGAAATCCTTTTTTTAACTTTAATTAGCTTCTTCTCTTATATATCTTATACTTTAATAATATATAATAAAAGAGAAAAGTAAAATAATCCCTTTAAACTATTATAATAATACTATATCTTTTATTAATAAAGACTTTGAAAACTAATAAAACTACTTATAAAAAGAATACCTTACTATTATACTAGTAGTTAAGGCTTTTGAAAGTAAAAATAATATTAAAAAGCTTTTTAAATATTAAAATAAATAAAATAAAAATCTCTAAATAATAATAGAAATACTTATTAATCTTATTATTAAGTTTAAAATATAAAGTTATTTAGCTTTTAATAATAAGCTTTTAACTTAAAAGATAATAATAACTATAATAATAATAAATTATCTAAAAATAATTGAAATAATACCTTTTAAATACTAATAAAGTCTATCTTTATTATTTTAAATATTATAGTAGACTTTTATTTAAGTGATATATTAATAAGTTTTTTAGTACCTTTAAAAGTTTAAAATAATATACTTAGTCTACTTTTATAATTAGTAAGCTAGATATTAATACTAACTACTACTTAAATAAAAAAAGGCTTAATAAGCTATAGTATATAATTATATTAAAAGTAATACTTAAAGTTACTTACTTTTTTATTTTAAAGTTAATATTATAAACTTTTTTAAAAATGTTAAAGAAATACTTAACTACTTTAGTAGTATATATATAGTAAAATTTTTAAGTAATAAAATACTAAGATAGCCTTAAATAAGCTTTAAATAGTATTAAGTAAGTTATTTATTAAATACTACTTAATAAAACGCTTACCTTATAAAAGGTCGGTATTACGTAGTAATAGCGATCTTATATATTTATAATATTAAGTAAAAGTAATTAAGATTCTCTTAGAATCTATAACTAAAGTAAAAAGAAAGTAAAGAAGATAAAAAGATAATATATAAAAAGTTAAAAGAGATAATCTCACTTAGCTTAGGTTATATTATCTTAATTAAAAATAATAAACTAAGCTATAGAAATGCCTCTGAATCGTTATACTTAAGGTTTTTAACTCTTATTAAAAATACTTATATCTTATTTATTAAAAGTCTTATTACTTATATTTATAACTTTTTATACTTAACTTTTAAAGATTAAATAGTTTATAAGTTTACTTTTAATAAAAGTCTCTAAGACTTTATATTTATAATAGATTTCTTAAATAAAAAAGTATATTATACTTAAAAATAGTATTAGTAAATTATAATAACTATTTAAACTCTTATACTTATAATTTATACTTTAACTTTTAACTTTTTTAAAAAACACTTAGTTATTTTTTTAATTTTAAATATTATCTTAGTTTTTATTATTATAATTTTTATAATAATATTTAAAGTAATATTTTTTATTTTTTTAAAACTATTATATATTATAACTATAAAAAGATAAGCTATATTATTAAAAACTACTTAGACTTTAGTATTATAATAGTTATAAAAGTTAAAATATTAAAATATTACTTTAATACTAATCTTTTTTTTTAAAAGAAAGCTACGAACTTAAAAGAAATACTTTTAAAGTTAAACAACTTAAAACTTTAAAAAAAGACTTTTTTTAAGTAGATACTTATCTTTAAAGAGATTAATATATATTAATTAATTATTAGTAAAAGGTTTGTTATTTCTTATATATTATTTTATAATAATCTTAAAATTATATTATCTATCTCAGAGATAAAAGTAGATATAAATAGACTATCCCTAGATAGTCTAAGAATAATTCTCTCTGTAGGAACTATCCTTAATTAAAAACGTTTCTTAGATTATTTTAGAATAGTTACTTTCTTAGAGATAGTCTTTACTTTTACTTTTAAAGTAAGAGCTCTCTTATTTTTTCTTAAAAAGAGAATAAAACTTAAATTCTTTTTACTTTACTTTAATACTTAGTACCTTTTATATAAGATTAACTCTTACTTTTAGTTTTAAAAGTATCTAAATTAATCGATTTAGTATAATAGTATAATATCGTATAGTAGTGGAGTAGACTTTTATATAATAAAGAGCTTACTCGATTAAGTAGAAGTTATAGTATTAAAAGATATATTTAAAAGAGCGTTACCCCCTAGAATCAGAGGCTAAGAGTATACTATATATATATAGTATACTTACTAAGTATATACTAAACCTAGGATAAGCTTATATAGCGCTAGTATTTAATATACCCCTATAGTATATTTAAATTTATAAGAGCTTACTATTAAGTATATTTAAATTTATAAGAGCTTACTATTAAATATATTAAATATAAGATTAAGTCTAATATAGTGAGTATTCTATATAATAATTATATCTCTTAGATAAATATAGTAGTAACTATTCTATATCTAGCTACTTATATACTTAGTAATAAAAGAAATATATTATAGTTATATATAATAGTAGATACGCTTAAAGGTAAGGTATTACTTAATTAAGTAAGTTTATAAATAAATAAAATCTAAATATTAAAACGCGCTTTAAAGCTATATATAGTCTAATTAAATTAAGTAAATATATAGAGATCTAAGT